CCATTAAACTAGTCATTTAAAACATTAATGGTTTAAACACACCAGTTAAAAGATAAAGATTGTCAGATTAGATTTTTTTTAAAGACCCAGAGGAATCGAGTGGAGAGGGAGATGGGAGGGGGGATCGGGATGGGGAATACATGTAAATCCATGGCTGATTCATGTCAATGTATGACAAAATCCACTGCAATATTGTAAAGTAATTAGCCTCCAACTAATAAAAATAAATGAAAAAAAAAATAAAGACCCCACTATATGCTGTATAACAAAAATTTATTTAAATATAATTATATAAATGTGTTAAAGTTAAAATGATGGCACAATATATATCATGAAAATATTAATTTTTAAAAATCTGGAATGATTATATTAATATCAGAAAAAGTAGACTTCAAAACAAGGATATTCACCAAAGATAAAGAGGCATGACATAATGATAAAGGGTCAGTTTTCTAACAACACACAATAATTCTAAATATGTATGTACCTGGCAACAGAGCAACAAAATACATGTAACAAACACTGATAGGATTAAAAGAAGTCCATAAAAGATACTTGGGCAGCAGATAAGCAGATAAAAGTGTGTTCAACATCATGAGGCATTAGAGACATGCAAAGATACTATACACCTATTAGAATATTCCTCTCCCCCATAAGTACTAGCAAGGATTTGGAGCCATGGAATCTTCACACATTTCTGGCAGGAACACAAAAATGGTACAGCCAGTTTGGAAAATAATTTGGTGGTTACTTATAAAATTAAACATGTACTTGCTCAGAAATTCCATTTCTAGGTGTCTATCCTAGAAAATGAACACTTAAGGTCACACAAAAATCTGTACACGAATGTTTATAGAAGCTTTATTCATAATTACCCAAAACTATAAGCAACCCAAATACCCTATAGCTTGTATATTCAAACTGTGGTATATCCATATGTAGACCACTATGCAACAATAAAAAGGAACAAACTACTAACGAATCTCAAGTGCATTATGCTAAGTGAAAGAAACGAGACTCAAAAGCAAGTTTCTATACGATTACATTTAGATTCAGACATTCTGGAAAAGGTGAAACTATAGAGTCAAAGAACAGATCTCCAGTTGCCAGGGGTTGAGGGTGAGACAAGAGTGACTTCAAAAGCACAGCATGAGGGTGGAAGGAGTGACAGGACCATATCTTGATTGTAACAGTGGTTATATGGCTGCAAATTTGTCAAAACTCATTGAACTGAATACCAAAAAGAGTGAATTTTATTATATGAAAATTTTGCTTAAAAAACTGTGTGATCAGAGTCTATCAGAGTCTGAAGTCCAAGGACAACAAACCAATTAAAACAGAACCTCTGAAGGTGGGACACAGGCATCCATAGTTTTAAAAAACTCCCCAAGTGATTCAAATGTACAATAAATAGGGAGAAACACTGTACTCAAGAGCCAAGTCACTGGGAAAGACCCTGATGCTGGGAAAGATTGAGAGCAGGAGGAGAAGGGGGCAACAGAGGATGAGATGGTTGAAAAGCATCACCAACTCAGTGGACATGAGTTCAAGCAAACTCCAGAAGATAGTTTAGTTCAATTCAGTTCAGTCACTCAGTCATGTCCAACTCTGCAACCCCATGGACTGCAGCACGCCAGGCCTCCCTGTCCATCACCAACTCCCAATGTCCATTGAGTCGGTGATGCCATCCAACCATCTCATCCTCTGTCATCCCCTCCTCCTCCTGCCTTCAATCTTTCCCAGCATCAGGGTCTTTTCAAACGAGTCAGTTCTTTGCATCAGGTGGCCAAAGTATTGGAGTTTCAGCTTCAGCATCAGTCCTTCGAATGAATATTCAGGACTGATTTCCTTCAGGATGGACTGGTTGAATCTCTTTGCTGTCCAAGGGACTCTCAAGATTCTTCTCCAACACCAAGGGTAGGGAAGCCTGGCATGCTGCAGTCCATGGGGTTGCGAAGAGTTGGACATGACTTAGCCACTGAACAACAACTGTACTCAAAGCGTGGGCCCCAGATGTAGCATCAGCATCACCTGGGATCATGTTGGACATGCAAATTCTTAGAAGCCAGGCCAACCCTATTGAATGAAAAAACTCTGGGGGTGGGGCACTGCAGTCTGTGGTTTAACAAGCCTTCCAGGTAGTTCTGATTCTTGCTTCAGAATGAGATTGACATCTCTGTTTCCTGCAATGTGATGAGAATCCACTCTGGGTGACCTCAGTCCTGACAAGGCCCCGCTGGAGCCCTTGATCCCCTACCTGCAGGGCTAGTCCTGTCTCAGTATCCAGTCTAAGCCTAAACTTAGACACAAGAAACTCAAGAGTCCAACATGGTGGACCCTCACCAGCACTCCTATTGTAGCTCTGATCTTGAACCTCAGCTCCTAGTTTATATTTTGTTCATGCTGCCTGCACCCTCTCTTGGTGCTGTGAATTCTCTCTAGAACAAGGGCCTTACCTAGGTTTTCCAGCCCAATGACTAGAAGCCTATTTTGAGACTCAGTCCAGCAATTAGAGATTCTGGAGCATGCGAAACAGGCTCCAAAACTGATGGCTACAAACAACAGATATCTGCCTGGACTTCCAGGTGCACTCTGCTGCTACATGTTATCCACCCGTCAAGACCCCCATGCCATTTATTTTAAGTCACCATCAGGCCATCAGTTTTGCCTAAAGACACTTCTCACAAACAAGTACATTCAAAGTCAAACATCCTTAAGTCAGATTAGCAGCAAGAGTGATTATCTTTTAAACCTACATTTCCTTTACTCCTCCCAGTTTTTTGTTTTAATAAATCACCAGGAACTTCAGATGTTATGATAAATTCAGAAAGATGCAAGTTGACATAACTCACTGTTGATGAATTATCCACTATCAAAGGAAGGGAGAATGCCCAGACCATTCCTGTTCCTGTCATAAATTATGTTGAGTTCTTAAGTCTGATAGGAAAGAGACAGAAGGGAGGGGAGGGGAGAGGAGAGGACAGAAAGAGGAGAGGAATGGGATGCAGACTGAAACTGATACACATCAGCTGACATTGGGACGGTGTCAATATCTGCAAAATAAACACCATTCCTTACAATAGTCATTTAACAGCATGTTAAACATCTCCTGGCCCCTCAACAATCAAAACTGATTTAACACAGTCAGATGGTTCTATTTGGCAGGGAGGAATAAAGAAATTTATTTTGGGGAATGAATAATAAATCAAGGCTAGATCCCCTGGAGAAGGAAATGGCTATCCACTCCAATCTTCTTGCCTGGAGAATCCCAGGGACAGAGGAGCCTGGTGGGCTACAGTCTATGGGGTCCCAAAGAGTCAGATGTGACTGAGCAATTTACACACACATGTTCTTTTCTTTTTATTCTCATTGCCACTAGCCTAGTCCAGACCCATAACTCTACCCACTTGAAGAAAGTCACAGCAGTCCCTGGATGGTGTCTGTGTTCTCTCTAGTTCTAATCCAACATCCTCTACCCTAGGACAATCTTCTAAAAGGCAGTTGGAATTGAGTTACTCTTCTGCCAATAATCATGTGATGCTCCCAGTTCAAGGCCCTCAACAATAAGATTCCAGGGACTTCCCTGGTGGACCAGTGGCTAACACTCTGTGCTCCCAAAGCAGGGGGCCTGGGTTTAATCCCTGGTCAAGGAACTAGATCCTGCATGCCACAACTAAGACCCAATGAAGTCAAATAAATAAATAAAATTTTTTAAATATTAAAAAAAACAGTAAAACTCCAACCAATCTCACCCAATACTACTCTTCTTCTCCAGCAACACCCAGCTCCAATCATCTGGTTTTTCTTCACAGAGGTTAGAACAGCTTCTCCCAACCTCCTCCAACCCCTCCACATTCCCCTACACAAGCATTTTCCCCAGTAAATCTCATGAATGTGTCTAATTCCATTTTGGTGTCTGCTTTTCAGATTATCTCACATAATGCAGAGAGTGAAAATTAGAGCAAAAAGTTTTTGGACAAGTTTGTAAATTCATCCTAGACTGTGAAAAGTTGAAAAGCACCTCCCCAAATGAAATTCTCCCATAAAACACTCCAAGATTCTCAAGTTACCCAGAATCTAGCTAAATTTTCCCATTGATCACAATAGTCCCCCAATTTAGAGATGGAAATACCAAGCCTTGAGAGTTGAAATAAATTGCTGAAGGACATACAGATTGTTAAGTGATGAAATCAGAGCTCTTGTCCGAAGTGCTAGTGCTCCTTTAACTACACTTTAATCGAAATTCAGGGAAATTGAAATGTCATAAGTGTTGTAAACAGCATATCACCATCTAATGAAAGATTGTTATAAATCATCACCATCATCCTCATTTCTCCTTGATGATCTATGCAATAAAGCAAAAGTTGGGGCAAATCTGTCACAATGAACATGGAAGACAGCATAATGGTCCCCAAAGATGTCTATATCCCAATTCCTAAAATTATGTTGAACCTGTACCTATGTAACTTTACACAGCAGGAGACTTTGCCAATATGACTAAGGATCCAGATTACCCCAGCGGGCTCAGTGTAGTCACAAGAATTTTTATAAGAGGAAAGCAGTAGCATTAGAGTCAGAGAAGATGTGACAACAGAAGCAGAAGTCAGAGCATCGAAGAGGTTTGAGGATGCTGCTCTGCCAGTCTTGAAGATGGAAGGAGGCTACAGGCCAATTCATGCAGGCTGTTTCTAGAAGCTTGAAACAGCTAGGAAATAGCTTCTTCCCTAGATCCTCCAGAAGGAATCAGACCAACAGACAACTTGATCTTAGATCTCTGATCTCCAGAACTGTCAACATCTTGATTTTAGGACATCTGACTTTCTTGACTGTAAGAGATAAATTTGTGTTAAGCCACCGAGTTTGCAACCATTTGTTACAGCAGCAATAGGAACCTAATACACTGAACACTCTAGACACTCTCTACTGTAACAGTCATCCAAAACACATGCACATACACCATTACAGATTATACATATCACCTCCCAAGCCCCAGGTCTTACTGTAGTCTCTGCCTGGACTTGGAGCCTCATGGCCCTTGCAGGTAGGATCTCCCTGAAGATCTCCTTCCAGTCCTCAGTTCTGTGGTTCTGATTCACTTATCAGTGGACCTGTGCATTTTTAAGCAATTAAGAGGAAAAAAAAAAACAGATTTCCAGTTAAACCTGGAAATGCCACAGAGGGTCCTGATATGCAAGATGTGTTGTGCATATCAAGACCTGGAAATAGCACAACTTCCTCAAAAATAAATACAAAAGTGAACACAAAATTTCTTCAAGGGAACTTGCAAGGAAGGTTTATATAAATCATTCACAAGATCTTTCTGAGATGACTATTTAGAAATCCTCAAAAAGAAAAAAAAAAAAACCACATCCCTGGCCTATTTTGAAGGCACACCCCTGCCTTTGGGGAGCTTGGGGACTTCAAGTATGCCAGGACTTGTGTCTGGAGCATCCTTGGAACTTAAGGAGAAGGGCAGAGACACCCCCACATGATATCCTGGATACAGTAACCATCTTTGACAACTGTAGACATAACAGAAACTAAGGGACAGCTGACAAAATTCCAAGGATATTTCACAGGACCCAGCTTGAAGACCTCAATGACAATATAGTATCTATTTACAGGATCACAGGAGTTAGTTGTAATAGTTCTGAGAAACTATTAGCCTCAGCCAACCATCCACTGCCGTCTTTCCAGTGCCTGGTTCCCACTAACATCTGCATGTGTAGTGCTGATCATTGTTAAGAAAAGGAGAAAATAGCTTCAGGATAGCCCTGGCAATCTCTACCTTGGGATCTAAACCCATAATTCTTCCTGAGATGAAATCAGAGAATCTGTTGCTTTATGCAAGTAAACAAATGAATTAATAAACTGCCTGAGTGTAGGATGCTTAACACCTTATTGGAAAATTAACATTTAAACTCCTTATTACATCTTCAGTTGTTGATCAGTTTTAAATCAGAAATATAGACAACTGAATATTCATTAGAAGGACTGATGCTGAAGCTCTAATACTTTGGCTGTGATACCAAGAGCCAACTCATTGGAAAAAACCCTAATGTTGGGAAAGATTGAGGGCAGGAGGAGAAGGGGGTGATGGAGGATGAGATGGTTGGATAGCATCATTGACTCAATGGACAAGGGTTTGAGCAAACTCCAGGAGCTGGTGATGGACAGAGAAACCTGGAGTCCTCGGGGTGGCAGAGAGTCGGCAGGACTGAACAAGTGAACAACCAACAACAGCAAGAACTGGGAGGGAGAACTGTGCAAGCTGTGTGTATGTGGTCAGTGCTAGCTTGTGACTTTCAAAGATCCTTTTCCACTGCGAAAGGAAAACAGAAATGTTTATGAAAGCTCTGGAAGAGAAATTACCTGGTGGGCAAAGGCACAAAGTATTCAGACAAAGCATATTGCTCCATATTTAGAGCTTCATAGAGATCTGATATCCTCTTTTTAAAAAGCTATAGGGAGGGGGCTTCCCTGGCAACTCAGTGGTAAAGAATCCTCCTGCCAATGAAGGAGACAGGGGTTTGATCCCTGATCTGGGAAGATTCCACGTGCAGCTTAGCCCGAGCACCGCAACTATTCAGCCTGTGCTCCAGAGCCTGGGAGCTGCAACTACTGAAGCCTCAAGCCCTAGAGCCCATGCTCCACGACAAGAGAAGCCACTGCAATGAGAAGCCCATGCTCCGGAACTAGACACTAACCCCAACTCACTGCAACTAGAGAAAAGCCTGCGCAGCCAACGAAGACCCAGCACAGCCAAAGATACCCCCAAAACTATAGGGAAGGGCTTCCCTGGTGGTCCAGAGGTGAAAAATTTGCATAGCTATGCAGGGGACTGGGGTTCAATCCCTGGTCAGGGACTAAGATCCCACATAGCTCAGAATGACTAAATCCATGCCCAGCAGTTACTAAGCCTGCATGCCCTGGAGCCCATGTGCCCCAACTAGAGAGTCTGCACGCCACAACAAAAGATCCCAAGTGATGCAATGAAAATCCTGAGTGCCACAACTAAGACCCAGTGCAGCCACATAAACAAATAGATATATGAATATATATATATACATTTTTTAAAAACTATTTTAAAAAATATATAGGGAATTCCTTGGTGACCCAGTGGTTAGGACTCTGAATTCTCAGTGCCAAGGACCCAGGTTTGATCCCTGGTCAGGGAACTAAAATCTCACTAGCAGCGTGGTGCAGCCAAAAAAATTAAAATTAAAAATTAGTTAATTTTAAGCTATAGTCCCCACAGTCACAATATCAGAGAATCATAAAGGATAAAACTTACAGACTACACAAGCTCTTTAACTTTTTAGGTCAAAGATATTAAATAAAATTAAAACATACACTATAAATGGGGGAAATACTTGCAACATATTTGACAAGCAATAGGTTAATGTCCTTAGCATACAAAGACCTGTTTACTCAATAAGAAAAAGAAACACCACTCTAAAATTAAGTAAAAGACACAAAGCAGGAGAACGAATGTTAAATACATGAGTACGTAAGTAATAGTCAAATTTATTAATCAAGAAGTACAAATTAAAGCAATAAGTTTTTCCCATCAAATAAGGCTTTTAAAACGAGCAGAGATTTGCTCACATGCTACTAGTAAAAATAAAATTTAACACAATGTTTTTCCAAAAAATTCAGGAAATACACTAAAACCCTTAAAATATGCATTTCTTTATACTCAGTAATCACTTCTAACATTAATAATCTCATAGAATTAATAATATATGAATATGTTCTAAGGAAATAATTAGAGATGTAGTCAGATACATGGGCAGTATTTTTAATGGTGAAAAATTGGAAAGTAAATATTCAAAAAGATGTAAATATCCTAAAAGATGATGCTGTGGAAGTGCTGCACTCAATATGCCAGCAAATTTGGAAAACTCAGCAGTGGCCACAGGACTGGAAAAGGTCAGTTTTCATTCCAATCCTTAAGAAAGGCAATACCAAAGAATACTCAAACTACCACACAATTGCACTCATCTCACACGCTAGNTAAAAGACGCTTACTCCTTGGAAGGAAAGTTATGACCAACCTAGATAGCATATTAAAAAGCAGAGACATTACTTTGCCAACAAAGGTCTGTCTAGTCAAGGCTATGGTTTTTCCAGTAGTCATGTATGGATGTGAGAGTTGGACTATAAAGAAACCTGAGTGCTGAAGAATTGATGCTTTTGAACTGTGGTGTTGGAGAAGACTTTTGAGAGTCCCTTGGACTAAAAGAAGATCCAACCAGTCCATCCTAAAAGAGATCAGTCCTGAGTGTTCATTGGAAGGACTGATGCTGAAGCTGAAACTCCAATACTTTGGCCACCTGATGCGCACAGCTGACTCATTTGAAAAGACCCTGATCCTGGGAAAGATTGAAGGCTGGACGAGAAGGGGACGACAGAAGATGAGATGGTTGGATGGCATCACTGACTCAATGGACATGAGTTTGGGTAAACTCTGGGAGTTGGTGATGCACAGGGAGGTGTGCTGCAGTCCATGGGGTTGCAAAGAATCGGAAATGATTGAGCAACTAAACTGAACTGAAATATACAAAATAGGAAATTATTGAATAAATTATGATAAACAATGGAGTATCAGGTAGCTATTTAAAGAAATGTGGCAATGGTGTATTTATTAGCACAGAGTAATATTCATAACATATTTTCAGAGGAGGAAATGAAGTACAGATAAGGTATACAGTACGAGTTCATTTTTTTGAGATAGATGAAGGGATGAATGAGGGGATGGGTGGATGAATGGATAGATGGATGAGTGGATGGGTTAATGGATGGATGGAAGGTGGGTGAATGGGGGCTGGGTGAATGGAGGTAGATGGATGAGGGAGTAGGTGGATGAATGGATGGATAAGGGTGGGGTTGCTGGACAGATGGATGGATGGATGAATAGAAATAACTGGGAGATGCTACATCTCTGTTAGGAGGGAAAACCTTTTCTCCACCCCAGGTTTCCTTGAGGAGGGATTATCAATAAACTCTCCTGGTCTCTCTCCATCCCCTTTAACTCATTCCATCTCTGGGGAAGAGGAGTGACTTATCTGACTGGTAAGTCTAAGAATAACAGGTCTACCTGGCTTGCTTCTCCCTTCTCACTCCTGGGAGTGATCTGGTTGCAATGAACACACAGTCTCCACTGCCCCCTGGGCCAGAAGTCCCCCCCAAGTCCACTGCCAGCTGCGCCTGGGTGGCTGCATCTGTCTAATTCTGGGGTTCAGTTTGCTGGCCTATGTGGCTCTCACACTAAATTACATCTCCAACTTTTCCTTTATCTACAGTGAAGAAGACGTCCTGGCCTCTTTCTGTACTCTTGGCCATATTTCTGGTTGTTCTGCAACCAGGTGGGGAAGTAGGATGGAATTCACTGGGTCTCCTCAGAGGTCCCAACATCACTCAGTCAAGGCTCTCAGTGAAAAGCAGTAAAACTTTATCTGGTGAACTAAGGCAAAGAGGACTTTATTAAAAGAATAACTAGCAGGCAGGGGGGTGGCAATTGTTTCTAGATTAGACAGAAGAACCAGATTTAGGGGAGGTCAGAGAGAAGGATGTTCAACAAAGAAGTCCCAAGAGAGAGTTTGGCCAGCAGCCACCTTTTCAATGACCCTTCCAACCATTCCTTCTACTCAGGCATGATTTTCTCAAAACTGGAAGTCTGAGGAAATAATGTCCAAACGGTCAAAAGGTGCCTACCTCACATCCACCCCCCACTTCCCTTCCCTAACCAAGCCCAGATTTTCAAGAATTCATTGCTTCTCCTCTCATTATTTAGCGAAAATGGATCCCTCCCAACCTTGACTTATCCTGTTTCCCTCATCACAGTTTAGGGGTAAACAGGACACACAGGTGGGGCCAGTCAGGGGACGACTCGGAATGGCAGGTGGAAACCCTTCTACCTCTGTCCCTCGGACACGGGTGGGAAAGCATGTGGCTCTGCCGGTTGTGTGCTGACTTAAAATACAGTGGACACCACAGAAGCCTAAACAGAGACAGACTGACAGTCACTCAATCCAACCCACCTGAAGCCAGATGGGATGCTGAGCAAGCCCAAATGACCAGCGTGCACTGGTTCTAACGGTGGAGA